TGCACCCAGCGTGAGTTTTAAGCCACTGGGTCCGGGACGCGAACTGCAGTCGACTACGTGAGAGTCCAGCGACATAGCCATTACGCTAACTGCTGGTTCCCCCGACATGTTTGTTTTTCAAGTCACCAGGTCCGGGACTTGAACCCTGGCATTGGCTATGTGGGGATCTAGCTGCCTTAACCTTCATGCCACCTGCTGGCCTAAGGTTTAATTTCTTTTTTTAAGAATTATTTTATTTGGGGGACCAGAAGTTGGCAAAATGGCTATGTTGCTGGACTCCCATGTAGTCGACCACGGTTCAAGTGCCAGACCCGGTGGCTTAAACTCACACCAGGTGCGTGTGTATGTGTGCCCACCATCCTGAGAGGAGAATGGAATAGAAGGGATTGTGGTGTGGCCATCCCCCCTGGGGGGTGATTTCTCACTTTCTGTCTCTCTATCTCTCTCTGTCTTTCTGGCAAGCACACACGCCCTATAGCAAAAACCTCTCAAAAAAAAAAATTATTATTATTTTATTTATCTTCATTTATTTTTTAGTATTATTATTTTCCAGTTTGATCGAACAGAGATGAGACAGAGACAGGGAGAAAGAAAGTCAGAAAGCAAGCGACCAATTTCAGGACTTGAACCACAGTCGGCCATGTGGGAGTCCAGCGCCTTTAACCACCCTGCTGACCCTCCAAGGTTTAATTTTACACATTCCTGAATCCTGTTAGGTCAGACGTTCTAATTTTTGGTTATATGTTCATAATGTACTATTTCCCATCCAACCTTTAAAAAGACAACGTTACAAAGTGCATTTCTCATCCGTTTACATGCAGCTAACTAACGTGTTGTATTTCTTCCAGGTGCACCCTGAAGACCACAAGTTAAATAAATACCATGACTGGCTTTGGGAAAACTATGAAAAATTAAGTCTGTCTTAAAACGATTTGAAGTTTTTCAGACTCATCTCTTACGCTTTGCTTTGCACTTTAGTCCTGAAGAACTCCATTAAGCACAACGCACCACCTTTTTAAGCAATGTAGATTTTAATTGTCCCAACTAAAAGTGTTTTATTAATGTGTGTGCCACTAATGGATTTTAGTTACTGGGTGTGCTAGAACATGGTTTTTTTTTTTTTTTTTCCTTAGATTTTTGATACAGAGAGCATGTACTCACCAGGGAGACAGAAAGTCAGAAATCACACCTCCCCGGTGGGATGGCCACACCACAATCGCTTCTCCTTTCTCCTCTTGGGACTTTGGGCATGCATGCACGTGCACCCAGCGTGAGTTTTAAGCTTCTGAGTCTGGGACTTGAACCACAGCCAACTGCATGGGAATCCAGCAATGTAACCATTACACTGCCTGCTTGTCCCTAGGATGTGTTTTGAGTATTTTTTTTTAATGCTTATTTGACAACAGTCCTAAAACATTTGAATTTTCAAATAATAATGTGATGCAAAAGTAAAAAGCTTATTTTTAAATTCGTGAGAAGGCACGTGTGCTTGGGAAGACAGAGAGGAAACGTGAAAAAGCATCCCCCTGCCCCCTCCGCATGAGGGATGGTAAAGCCGCAGTCCCCTCTCCATTCTTTTTCCTTGGAGGATTTTGGACGCACATTTATGTGACAGGTGTGTTTTTCAAGCTGTTGGGTCCAGAACTTGAACTGCACGGCCAGCTACGTGGATTCCAGCCACCTTAACCACCATACCACCAGCTGGCCTGAAAAACACTTTCAAAGCTGCCAGTAATATGACGCAATTTCTATCAGCCCTGCTAGGAGAAAGATTAGATTTTATGTTTTCTCTCTCTCTCTCTTTTTTTTTTAAGGTTTTGCTGTGGGGTGCATGCGTTCACTGGAGAGGCAGAGACAGTGAGAGGGAAGGGAGACAGCACCCCCTGGGAGAATGGCCATGCCGCAGTCCCTTCTCCTCTGTTCTTTTCCTGGGATTTTGGGCATGTGTGCACACGTGCCCAGTGTGAATTTTAAGCCACTGGATCCAGGACTGGACCCGTCGGCCATGAGGGAGCCCAGTGTCTTGACCACTGTGCCACCCGCTGGCCCCTCTGTTCTTTCTGCAGACGATGGTGTCACGCAGTCGTCGTGTTCAGTAGCATCTGAGAGTGCGCAGCCAATCATGTGATAAGCAATTTTGGAGTGGATTAGGCAGTTTGTTAATAAAAAGTATTTTTATTAAGAAAAAAAAAAAAAAAACACAGGTTGGTAGGTGGTATGGTGGCTAAGGTGCAGGACTCCCACATGGCTGACCATGGTTCAAGTCCTGGACCTACCTGGTGGCTTGCTTTCTCAATTTCCCTTTCTCTCTCTCTCTCTCTCTCTCTCTCTGGTCAAATAAAATAATGATGATGATGAATAAGATAAAATAATTATTTAAAAGAAAATGAATCTGTATATATCAGCTAAACTTGCTATTCAGAATAGTTAGATTATTTAAGAAGTTTTGTGAATCAATAAAATGTGTGGGGGGGGGGAATGGAAAACAACCATAGGCACATGAGTTAGG